GACCCCTGGATTGGGCAAACCTGAAAACTGGGGAGTCACCAAAGTCTGCCAGGGACAGATAAAAGGCAGTGAAAAGTGACCCTCAGTGGCGCCCTCTTGATCTCCAACTCGACCAGACCTGTCCAGCCAGAAGGACCAGCCGGCGACCCCCTTCTGGAAGATACCACCACGCTGAAAGAAGCCTCAACGACGGACTCCAGCGCTTGTAGGATAGGTATACCTGACTCTGTAGCCTGCTACTGTGTGTGTGTATGTGTGTGCATGTGTGGACCAGCCCCAAGGTTTATGATTACAGTGTTTCAATCCGCCTAATAAACTAGAATTTTAAGGATCCCTAGTTGGACATTTGTAGCCAACAAAGGGAAGGTAGAATCCTAAACTGTGTGCAAGTGTGCAGAAACTGCAATTATATGGCTAGGTATGCACCACTTCGGCAAGTAAAGTGAAACAGGCTTTAGATCATAGTGGTTGCATCTACATGAGACACTGACTGCCCAGCCATTATTACACAGTCGCTTAGTTTTTGCATTAAATAACTGTGCAGTAACTGGAGTTACTATGCAATAGTGTCTCCAAATGGCTTTTAGGTGATGCCGACTACACAGTAGTTCGTTACTACTGTGCAGTAGTGTCGCATCACACTTCATGCTATACAACGCTACTGCACAGTAGTCATGAGCTACTGCACAGTCAGCATCTTGTGTAGATACAGCCAGTGTTTATATTAGGCCTATATGAATTTCCAGAAGACATAGTGACTTTAAGCTATTTTTAGACTACTGTTTGAAACTATTACTGTTTTGATGTTTTTGAGGAAGTGTATTTTGGAGAAATTATATATGGCATATGCAATATTCTCCCAGATAACATGCACCATTGTTTATCAAAACCCAGATGCTGAAAATTCAAGTGTGTATTATATGTGAGAAAAACAGTAAGAACAAGTTCTCCTCCTTACTGTGTGAAATTCAAAATAAAATCTGTAGGGATCCACAGGGAGCAGAACAATATGCAGGCTTGGCTCCCTAGCTGCTGCTTCTTAATGGGTATGTCTACATGTTCATTAATGCGCCTTTGCTAATGCACATTAAAGAAAGTGCCTCCATTACGAGGTACTAGAAAAAGGTGCATTAGCCTATTTTAATATGCATTAGCAAAAGCACATGGTTTTTCTGTGATGCTTTAATGCCCATTAAAATAGCCTAATGCACTTTGAAGTGCACATGTAGATGAGTTCTTAGATTCCGAGGACTCTGCTTTGTGTATCTATAAACTGATGACTGAAATGATACAACCAGTGTTGGGGTATCTTGCTGTTCATTTCAGGTTTCTCAGTATTTGGGATTAAAGTTAGGTGTTAATCTATTCTGAGAAATTCCTTGGAATTCATTGATTGTAAACCCTTTAGCAGCAAGGACTATTTTGATTATAGGTGTCTATGCCATATTGCATAAGGGAGACCCACCATAAGGGCTATAAGGTTGTAACACAAGTAACAACGAAATAAGAGAGTCAGCAAAACATTCTTGATAAAGAACATACCTATTCAAATAGAGCAAAATATGAACAAATGACATAACCAAAACTAGTATACTTATCTAACATCATTCAGTTAGTTATTGAACTAGGTCTAATTGGTAGAAGGTTGGTTCCAGTTATGAAACATGTTTGCTAGACCTGAAGTCTATGAAAATGTATACTTAATGTAGGAGTCCTGTCAGTTTCTGAAAGGTTTGTATGTGGCATTTTGTATACTGACTTTCATACTGTGTTTTGAATTTGTGAGCATTTGTAATTGATAATAATATTTGTTTTTCAGTATCTAAATTTACAGTTACATATACAAAATATACTGTTCTTTCACTGATAATATATACATTCTACAATGAAATTAGGGAAAAGGAAGAAGTTAATAGCAAACTGAATTTTTCCACTAAAAGAGGCAATAATCCACCACATGGCAATATAGGAGAAAGCAAAAAACACCTAAAATGAGGTACGGACCCTTTTAGGTTGCCCCTAGTAGGAGGCTGAAACTATATTGAAGGTTTGCCTCACAAGTTTAATGGATGGGGAGATGCCATAGAAAGCAGATGTCTTTCCAGCCTTGTCCCTGGCTCAGTGTTTCCAATCTGTGGTCCAGATCCTCCTAGAGCTCCTAGAAAAGAGCTTCCCTGAGGTTGAAAAGAATATTGTTGAGACTTGTAGAAGCTGAGAGGTTAATAGGGGCTTCAGATTTTGTTACATGGGTATTTTGCAGCAAACTGCTCCATCTTCATGATAGAGATGACACAGAGATATATTGTTGGAAAAAAAAAATATCACACACCACAATGCCTAAATGTATACCAGGGGTATCAAAGATATGGCCAGCCTATGGTCTAGCTTGCTGGGTCTTGAATCAACCCCCACATGCTACATGCCGCAGGCCCTGGGCCTGCACGTTGCCTGTGCACACACAGACAGTTTAGCACATGCTACACGCAGTAAATGGGGCCCGCCTGTGGTATGTACTACATGTGATGCCTGCACCAGACCAAACTCTAAAGTGGCCCTATGTGCTGTGTGCAGCACATGTCATCTCTAGTCCTGCATTCGTGGAGCATGTGCCAGACCAGGTTTGCGCTGCATGTGGTGCTCGCATTGGACCAGCCCTGCAGAATGAATATGATGTGCACGGGGCCAGATGAGTTTGATACCCTGATGTACACTATTCTAGACTTGGTAAAATTCCATTAAAAAAATGAAATGCCATGCAAAGAAACACATCCACTTGTTTTATTACAGTTTTGAAGCATCAAGACAGCATAGTGTCTTGAACTATGCTGCAACAGAATTCAGAATGCCACTGCATGAACAAGCCCCTTGACACGATACAGTGTAACAGCTCTGATTCGCATCTAATTGTATTTGACATTAAAGTCAGTGCAATCCATACTTACTAAAACAGTAATACTGAAAAGCAGTAGCAGTCTAGCAGAGTTCCAGATGTACATGTTTGTCTGTTACACTGAGCCTACAACTGATCTGACTTTCAGTGGCTGGCACAGATGGAGGTGGATGTAGATCTTTGGGAGGATATTTCTTTCCAAAAGTTCTACCTTACTGGAAATAGCTGTCTCTCTTTAAATAGATACTTTCTCTTTTGAAGACTTCCATAGCTTCCTATTGGTTTAATTTTATGTGAAAATCCATTTTTCTTTCTTCTAAAACCCCCGTCATGCAAGCTTATGACTTAATTAACAACAGAGATGGGTTTAGCATATTTAGACTATGCCCATACATAAAGCAATGAGAGAATAATGTTAACAGGACATATGACCTAATTGTTTAATCCATCACCGGAGGGCAAAAGAACCTAATATTCAGCCCTTCTATACTGCTTTTCATCAGTAGATAAAGTAGTTTACAAAAGAAATTAATGTTATTCCCATTTTACAGATGGGGAAAATGGAGGTATAACTTTTCCAAGGTCACCAAGAAATCCAGAGACAGACCTTAGAATAGATTACAGATCTCCATGGAAGCCTGTCTGTGGAGATCATCAGGAGTCAGGCTGCACAGCTGATAGAATGAACTAGAGTAGACGCTACAACTAGAAGGATGATTCTCCATGTCATAAATCCACTTCAGACATGCAGTTCTTTTATATGTAAATTAATATAAATGTTGTCAAGCTCCCTATGAGCAGCAGGAGTCTCAATGTCATAGATCTGGAAAACCCTGTAAATGTACCAGGCTTCTGACTCTACAGATCTCCTAAGATCTGTGTAGACCTTTGAGACTCTCAGTTTTTGATGGCCAAATTTATGAAATTTTAAATAATTTATTAATTTAATTCATATGACCATTACAAAGTTTCCCTATAGTACCAACTAAATAATGTAAAATATATAATAGATGCAGCAATTAATTTCACTTTTGTTATTTACTTTTGCTTTCTACTCCCCTCATCTACTTTCTCAAGGTGTCTAGAATGAGTAGCTTTTTGTGCTGCAATGTTAACAAGGGATATTTTTCTCTTATACCATATTTGTGCAAGAATGTGAAAGGATCTCCATATTACAGATATGAATGTATATCTGAAAGATAATTTTGAGATGGTTTTAGTTTCTCTTACTGCACAGACAGACCCACATACCAGTACATGAGACGCGACTGATTTTTTTTGAAGACTTACCAAAAGGTATGCTTCTGAAAAGTAATGGAGTTAAGATCTTTGCTTATAATTGGCTTCTTGGTGCAATTGTTTAACTTTTGTCCCATCATTCTCCTAATTAAAGCATCATCTGTATTTGGAAACAACTGCTTTGTGATTCCTGCAAAATATAAGAGATGATATTTATAAAGCCTTAACATGAAATGGCCAAGTGAGGGGAAAAATGTGTGTGTCTTATATAAAATGCATCAATTGGGCCCATGAATTTCCAAACAAGGTTCTATTTTCTGTGTTTTGTGGCTGCTAGTTCCATCTGCCCCCTGCTCATCACTTGCCTTCTCTGCTAATCCCAATTGTTTTCTTTGGCCTCAATATTACCATTCTTGCTCCGGCAACTCACAGACCTCTCATGACCGTGATGACTTCCTATACTATATACTTCCTATGTTTGCTCTTTCTGTCTTCCTTTATCTCTGTCCTGTTCCCGGCCAAGCAATTCTTCTTCTATCCTCTTATCCATTTTTATGAATCTTGACATTTCATTGCTATCTCAGACTCTGAGCACCTCTTCCCCTTCTATATTTGTTCCTCTTCTCTGCCTGTCCAGTAGCTTGCTAACTTCTTTGAAGCAGCAATTTACCTCCTGCTCTTATCCTCCTTCATGATCTTTACTTCCTCCTTTGATTTTTTTCTTCTTTTAGACATTCATCCCATTCTGGAGTATTCTAGTTCTCATCTTCTACAGTCCTTAACGCCTTGGTCTCTTGCAATCAATTGCTCTCTTTATTTGACTTCTTCCCGTCTTTATTGAGACAAATGATCATTTCCTCTCCTCTCTTACCTGTCCTATATGTTCAAGTTTCCTAAGCAGCAGTTTATTACTAGTGTCTTGACTGCCTCTTTCTCAGGTCTCTCCCATCTGGCTTCTGCCTGCTCTATGCCACACTTACAAAGTCACTAATCACCTCTCCCACCTCTCCAAGTGCTCAGTCTTTGCTGTCTTCAACACCATCAGCCACCACACTGTTCCTTCATACTAATTCTTGAACATGTTTAGTTGCTCTTGCCTCGTTCTTGTCTGTCAGTGTTGCCTTTGGTTATATCCTCCATCTTATCCTTCCACTCTCTGCTAGTAATTCTTGGGGGGGGTCTGTCCCTTTTCTTTTTTCACCTCACTCACTGGCACTTCCTGCCCCTACTAATGACTATTAAATGTACCAACCCTATCTGTCCAGGCTTCCTAATTCTCTGATACATCATCACAGATGTTCTACCACTTTTAAAAAACTAAACATGGAAAAAAATCCTGAATTTCTAATCTATTCTCCGTTAAATACTTTCCCTCTATCATTTTTGACAGCTCCACAAATGCTAACAAACAAGCCTTGGGATTTTGGCTGCTCTTTTTTCCTTCTCACTGAACGGTAGCTACTTTCTTTATGACATCATTCCTTCAAACATTCACCTCCTTCCTCTCCATCTTTGCTTTTAAAATGCTGGCTCATGTCATATATTTCTCTCATCCCAACTATGGTAAACTTCTCTTTGCCCTTCCAAATTGACCTTCCCCTACTGCAGTCTAGCCATGTGGCAACTACCACTCTGTCATGATAAATATATTACCACCCCATTCAGTCCTTTCACTGGCCTCATGACTCTTTTGGCATAAATTTCAAGCTCATCTTTTCTTAGGAAATTGTGTGCAGAGGTGCTCTGTCTCATATCTGACTGCCCATTTCCAAATCCTCTCACTCTCTCTACATTCTACTTACTTTTCCTGTTAAGGTGTTTTCTCTCCTCCTCCTCCTCTCTGACCTCTGGGTTTTTTTCATGTTACTCCTTCCACCTGGAATTAATTACTCTTTTCTTGTGCACCGATCATTTCCTGCCTTTAAATCCATTTCGTTTGCCTTGCTTTCCTTCCTATGTCTTCCACATCTTCCTTCTCACCTCACTTGAAGCACAATTTAAAAATGTCAAAACTCATAACATTCAACAACTACAAAATAGACCTTACATGATTTCTTTCCCTCTGTTCATAGAATCAAAAGATTGGAAGGGACCTCAAGGGTCATTTAGTCCAATCTCCTGCACAAATGCAGAATCCATTTTTCTTAGACCAATCCAGATAGATGCCTATCCAGCCTCTTTTTGAAAACCTCCAGTGAAGAAGATCCACAACTTCCTTAGGGCAAACTGGGGACATCTTCTCACACAAATCCAGAGTAAGACTTGAGCTCAAGCTTCTAGAACAATATCAAGATGCCTTGACTTCTCTGGCAGCACCCATTATGGAGCCACATAAATGTTTAAAAGTTGCATCAATAAGATGCAAAATCCACATATTAGGAACATATATTATTTTGCTTTCTACTGACACTGCATTTGTAACAAAAATTAAATTAAAACTGTGAAAATATACAAAGAAATACAAATGAATATTCAATCTTAATGTTTCTTGAAAGAATAACTAGAAAAAACACAGTGCCATATATATAATTATGTAAACTAGTGATTACCTATTATTTCCTGAACTTCATTCTGATTCATAGCTGGTTTTGCTGCTTTATCCTTTGAAGAGGAGGACTTTGCCCCTGTTAGGCTGTGCGTGGCCATATACTCGTGTGTATAAAGTGCTTGCATCAAATCATTTATAAACTTCTGAGGTTTGCTCTTATTACAAAGGGCAATCTGCCATTTTTCAATTTTAAACTGAAAAATAAAATTGGTCATAGACACAACTGTTCCAATCATTATAAAAAAACAATCATATGAAACCCTACTCTTTTTAAAAAGGACATTTCTGCATTTTTATTTGCAACACTTTAAAAATATTTTTTAACAGTCTGCTGGCTAGGAAACTGGCTCCGAGGCAGGACCCAGAGAGTAATGATAGATGGAACTGAGTCAAGATGGCACTTGGTGACCAGTGCCACCTCAGGGTTCAGTACTCGGACCGGTGCTTTTTAATATATTCATTAATTATTTGGATTCGGGGTGTTAAAAGCAGACTGGCAAAATTAGCAGATTACACCAAATTATGAGGGACTGTGGTCAAGTTGGAGGATAGGCTGGGGATACAGGTTTACCTGGATAGGCGTGTAAGGTGGGCAGATCAAAACCTGCTCAGTGCTGAACATCATCAGTGTAAGGTGCTCCACGTGGGGAGAAACAACCCACAACATGCTTACAGGCTTGACAGTGCTACACTTACTAGCACCACAACTGAAAGAGACCTGGGGGTTTTGAGGTCATAGCTTGGTGAGGTCATAGCTGGGGTACTGTGTCCAGTAGGCCTGTGTGAAGCGGCTAGTATTTGCTTCGGATTCAGCCAATTCGGGGGACAGTGATTCGATTTGGTGATTCGAATCATTGTCCTAAATCTATTTGGCAAAATCTCCGAATCATCCAAGCCATCCCCCATCCTCCACCCCCTCTCCCAGCCTGGCAATGGCTGCCCCGCCGGCCCAGCTCCTGGCACTTTGAAAAAAAAAAAGCCCCAGCTCACCGGGTGCTGCTGGGTGGGGCGGCGATCCCTGCTGCCCCAACCGGGTGCCCCACCTGGGCCAGCTCCGGCCCTTTAAGAAAAAATACAAACCATGAAAAACCCTGCACCATTCCTTGAGGGGTGATCCCCGCTGCCCCCCACTGCCCTGCACCACGTGGGGGGCTCTTCCATAGCCCCTCAAAACCCGGAGGCCACTGCAGGAGTGGAGAGTCCCGGGGCTTTTCTCTGTTTTTTTTTTCTTTTCCTTAATGGGCTGGAACTGGGATGGGTGGGGCAGCTGGGGGGAAGCTGGAGTAGTGAGGGGAGGGTTTGGGGGCTTGTGGCAGAGCCCCCCATGCAGCGTGGGGATCACCCCCTGCCTGGCAGCACCTGGTGAGTTGGGGCTTTTTTTTTAAAGGGCCAGGAGCTGGGGTGGGTGGTCTGGCAGGGGTCCCTCCATGGTCCCCTCTCCCAGTCCCCACTCCCTTGCCCCTAGTACTTACCAGTTTGGATTCTGGCTGCAGTTCCCGCTGCAGCCACCAGGGACTGCCTGAATCACCACGCTCTCTGAATCTTTTCCAAAGGTCAGAGACCTTTGAATCGATTTGGACCTTTTAATTGGTCCCTGTTGCAGGGCACTAAGGTGCCTGCTCCTGTAAGAGCAGAAATTGCCTGGGGAGAGAGCCCAAAGAGCCAGACAGGAGCCCAGGTGCAGGTTACCATGGCAACAGGCTAATGAGCAAATTAGCCTGCACCTGCACCTGGTCAGCTGGCCAGAAGAGGCAGGGCCCTGGGCCCATATAAACCCCAGGGCTGGGACTAGGGAGTTCAGTTCCCTGCCAGCAGCTGAAGGGGAAGGAACCTCCAGGTAGGAATGGCCCAGATATGCTACAACTACCTGATATGCTGCACTTAGGACTAATGAGGTACCTTTGCCTACTAGACACTTAGTGCCAGGGAAGACGTTGAATTCTTTTAAAAGGGGTAGAGCATGCCCTGAACTTTGCTGTTATGTTATAGCCCAGAGGCTCATGTTTTGTTTGCTATTTTATAATACCAGAGGATTGGGCTGAGTCTCTTGGGGAAGGAGGCCTCATTGGGGACCCACTACAGTGTGGGAAACCCCAGTGCCAGTGTGGGCGCCGTGACAAGGGGGAGAGTGGACCCCAGCACCAGGGGGTGCCGTGACAAGGTGGGGAGAGCGGACCCCAGCGCCAGAGGGTGCAGTTGCGGAGGCTGGACTAAGCTGAGGCTGCAACTTGAGGAGATTGGTATGACATCTGTGAGGCTTGGGGCATGGTAAAGGGGCAGTTTTGAAGCCATGCATCTAGCCCATAAGGCTGAGGGTGTCCCAAGAGGTACCCATTTTGAGCGGGATCCAAAGCAGGATCTGAGAACTCATGAGGTTCAGAGGGGGTCCCACAGGACTGTGTCTAGACAATAAGATCAAGGGCAGCCTCCCTATATCATAATTACAAGCAAAGACATGGCAGGCGAGAAAGAGGGTGCCTGTTGGGCCAGACTGAAATGGTCAAGGGGACCTAGAGGTATCACTGCCATCCCTGAGGACCTCATCCCGTGATAGTCCCCTGATTCGATTTGGATTTGGAGATTCTGCCACTGAATCAGGCCGAATCTCCTCCAAATCGAATCACCACCCAAAGCTTTGCACAGCCCTAGTGTCCAGTTCTGGGCACCAAACTTCAGGAAGGATGTAGAGAGGCTTGAGAGAGCCCAAAGGAGGGTTATGTGTATGGTTAGCAGTATGGAGAGTAAGCCATATGGTGACAGGCTGAGAGACTTGGGTCTGTTCAGCCTGGAGAAGAGAAGACTCAGAGGGGACTTGGTGGCAGCCTATAAGTATATAAGGGACCCACATCAAGGACTGGGAGAACATCTGTTCACCAGGGCTACCTAGGGGAAGACTAGAACTAACTGTCACAAATAGCTAGAAAACTGCTTTAGATTACACATAAGGAAAAACTTCTTTACAACTCAAGTGTCCAGGGGCTCAAATAGACTCCCCACAAAAGGTGGTACAATCACCTACTCTGGATATCTTCAAAAAACTTCTGGACACTCACCTTGCTGGGGTCATCTGGCCTCAGCAGTCTCTTCTGCCCAAGTGAAGTGGGGCTGGACCTGATGATCTCAAGAGGTCCCTTTCAGCCCCTAACATCTCTGAACTCATTTTTCAAAAGTAGCTTTTGCAGTTGTGTGCTCACAATTACACTCCCAAGGTGTACACACCTCAAACTTCGGAAAAGCATATGCAAGATAGCATCCTGCAGATGCATGCGAGGGCCAAACTGTGGACTTCTACTCATGTTAGGGAACACTTTATCGAGCACTCCCAGCAGTTTCACTAGAAATATTAGCTTCAGTACATGCTTACCAATAGGAGACTTTACTGCTCAAAGAGTTCCAAAATCTAGGCATGAAATCTAAAGTATAAAATGCATAATCCATGTACTACGTATAGAAATCCATGTATTAATGCTCCCCAAAACATAGGCATGCAACTTTGAGCTATGTCAGTCTAAACCAGTGGTCCTCCAACCTTTTTAAGTAGGAGTCACCTTTGGCATTTAAAAGCAACCCAAGACTTACTGTGTGCCAATGACACCCCCCTTCCCTCACTCCACCCAGCTGGTAAGTCTGTGGGGAGGAAAGGGGGAGGCAGATCGAGGCAGAGGGAGAAAAAATTATTTGGGGATGTGCCTCCCCAGCAGGTAAGTCCCATCCAGTCAGGGCCCCACGCAACTGTGCTCCTGCCTCTGCGGCACTGTTACTCACCAAGGTGGCCTCAATCTAGCCCCCGGCCCTTCTCTCTCCCACGGACTGATCTGCTGGGCTAAGGCATATGCGTGCATACAAGTGGGCACTCAGCCCCTCCACCCCAGCCTTGGATCAACTCCAAGAGGCTCCGAGAGGTACCAATGGATCGATATCCACTAGTTGGTGACCACTTGTCTAGAGGCAGGGTTAGGACCAGTTAAAAAACATGAGCCTCTGTGTTGACTTGGAGAAGCAAGGGTTGATTTTGGTCACAATAGTTGTTTCATTCAGTTAAGACATCATGCCTGGATAATTCTTAATAGATTTCCCCAATTCTGTGCTTGCAAGTAACAATCCTTATGGATGATTTGTACCAACTAGGATGACTCATTACACAGAAATGCTCATGTAAATTATAAATGTAGAGGATACTGGAGTTATTCTTTTTAGTTAAATCTTTAAAATTATATTTTTCTTTTAAACTCTGCCTGTGACTTATCAATAATGCTCTATTATTATTGTAGAGAATATGAGACATCGTTCCATGCAAGATAAGAATAATTCCCTCTGATATCTGGCCAATCTCTGTAACAAGGCAGAAAGGCACCCTTCTCCCTCTATTTATGGTTGGAAAGAAAGATGCAGCCTTTAAAAAACAAACAAGCTGTCATTTGAAAGTCATTTTTTTCCTTTATATATCATAAGTCAATAGAAGTTCCATATGTATGCCCAAGGGCATAATTTATTCTTTGGGTTGAAAAAGTATTTTCTTTACAGTTATCCACACATTGCCCTCTGTTACATCCATACAACTCTACTGAAGTCACAGGTAGCTCAGGAGCATACATGAAGGCTAAATTTTGTTGAATATGTCTAAGGAAACCTCTTATATGCAAAAGGAGGAGTTTTTTAGTAAGTTCCTTATTTTTTTTCTAGCTATGGTCTAATAATAAAATACCTACTCCTAATGCTTACTTTTACATTGCTTATAAAGCTTGTAACACATTGTTTGGTTTCATTCTTATTACCGAAATAAGCTTTTAACCAACCTGTTTCTCAGTCTGTTGTTCTTCGTCCTCCACATTTAAAGCTATTGGTGAATTTGAGTTACTGTGGATAGTTGTGTATGAATCAGCTAAAGAATTGCTGGATGCTTTCCAGACAGTCTGTGAATGAAGGCTGGATGTAGATGTAGTCACTCCTCCTTTAAGCAGTGCCTCTGCCATACCTACCAGTTCCTCAAAATGTGTTACTGCCTGTGGCAACACTGAAATTGGAAAGAAAGTCACCATTAAGAATACTCATTAAAGCTTCTGACTTATTTACTTTGGATGTATTTGTACATCAGCTTGATGTATTTTTTTGTAATCAAATTCCTGTCAGAGTAAGCAAGAGAACAAGAGGTTTGGTATCATTTTAGGCCAGCAATAAGCAGCAGTACCATTAGAATAATGTTTGTGTTTCATTCTTCTCCCACCCTTTACTTCCCTAAGAACAAAACAAAAAGGCCCCAGTAGAGATTAGGTTTCTAGCGCTAACAACATGCTAAGTCAGCTCTCTTCAGATGGTTAATGTCTCTCATCTACTTCACCTTCACCTTCAAAGGGCTGCATGAATATGGCCCAAACTTTAAAGGGCTGGAAACAAGTCCAATTTAATTCACTTCAGTGGAGTGACCTTGTTATGTCTGGACTGCATTAACCCTCTGGATATCTACAGAGTAGATGTCCTATAACATGTCCCCCTATTTGGTTAATATTTTCTTTTCGCAGACTTATGCAAGTCCTGCAAAAATAGTACAAATCTGCAAAGTGGTAAGGCCTGATCAGATGAGATACTAAGTGATAAAGATTAAGCCATCTGAACAATAATTAAATTAATAGCAAAATATACATCAAGGGGGAAATGGGAACACTCAAGATGAAAACAGAAATAGACCTAGATATATGAAAGAACTAGACAGGCATTAGCAAAATCAGATTAAACCTGAAAAAATGCTACTAGTAGATTTGGATAAAAATAATCTAATACAAGTTGGGTGGGAAAAGACTGAAATATGGGGGGAAGGAGAGACAAGCAGGTACACAGTGACTGCAACAGCAAATCACAAGTCAGGTTTTGACTACTGCTTCCAGTCTTGGCTTCCTTAGACCAAGAGAAACACTAATTAGAAGAGAATACAGAAAAGGGCCCTAAAATGATTAATAGTTCACATTTATAGGAAGCAAATGTAAAATAACTTGGATAAAAAAACTACAAGCTGTCACCTTGAACTAGGTAAGGGTTATCAATGTAAGACATTATTTGATTCGACAAAAAATAATTAGAATTAAAGATACAGGGCTAAGTAGGGGAAATCTTAGGTTATCAAGAATGCTTGTCTAAAAATAAGTTTAATTAAACTGACCAGTGGAGTCACTGGTGGAGTTGGCTGGAGTTATGCAAGTTTAGCCTATGGAAAGCACATGGAAATGTTCTATACAGAATAATTTGTGCAATTTAAAAGTTCCTTCCTGTCTTTAAACTCGGTGATGTCTTGGTCTCTGTTTAAGAGAATTTAACCTATTCCCCCCTTGCATTTACAAGTAGTATCCTGCTGCAGTGTATTAGTTTTCTCCAGCCTAATAGCCCTGCATGTGTAGACATGAGATATTTCCTATGGAGCTAATTAGTCTACTCCGCAATAAGCATCTTGTGTAGATGTGCTCTGTTTGCACTTAAATGATCTTATTTCTTTCTGTTTAGTACTCCAGCTCTCTTGCAAGCTAGTCTACTTTGTTAGATACTGTGAATGGACTTGAAAAGCTCATGCCTCTCTGAATGAGGCAATCAGGTGCCACACTGCCCTACCTTCTGCTTTATATGCCTCTGTGTTGTTAGACTCTTGTCCTAATTTGGACCTTGAGCTTGACAGGTGCCTAAGCATCCACAGTTGCCTTAAAATTCTCTTAAAGTAAGGGCCTTTATACATTTAAAGCTCTCTTCTTCATCAAAAAGTGATCTTTTCACAAACTTTACCTTGAAGCATGACCAATGACTGCCTTAGACGGCAGTTTTCTCTCATTGTGTCTGTCAATTTCCTTTTTAGACTTTTTATTTTGGCACACAGTTCCACTTTGGATAGTTGAAACAAGGGTTCTTCATCATCACTGCTGCTTTCACTATACAGAAAGGAATTTCCAGAATATGGTTCTCTCTGAAAATAAAGAAAGAAATAGGGCTACCTAAGGAAACAACAACAGAAAATTAAAGCATCTATTATTAGCCTGGCTAAAGCAGGGGATTCTCTTTTATAATCAACTGTTGATGAACACTGATCATATTTATACTCAAAACAAACTAACACAGTAAGTGCTAACAATACCTACCACATATATTTATTTACATCTTTCAAGCACTATATACTTTTCTACTAAAACAGGATCTTTCATGAGCATTACATGTACTTATATTTTAAAATAAATTATTCTTAACAAAAATGAATTTTAGGTGTGTTTTACTTACTGACTAAAAATACTTAAATTAAGATACTTACCTGCTTGTTAATTAAAGATGTTTCAAGCTGACTCAGGATGTTGGCAGAGGCAGAGGCCTGTAATGATTTCTTTCTTTTTATACTCTTCATAATTTTCCCCTGAAAACAACAGCATAACAATACCTTTAAACTTACACACTGTGTTCCATAATAAGACTTCAGTGAACACTACAAACATTCATTTGTTTTGGCTTTACAAAAATCAGAAAAAATATGCTTGGATCCTTCTGTTAGTTCTGAGACCAGCAGAACTTCTGAGTGCTCTGTTCTAAGCGTTGGCACTGCAGACTTTAACATAGGGACAAATTTAAAGGAGATGTAGCGGCATCAGCATGGCGCTCTGCTTTGGCTGTATTGCAAGTGAGCTCTCAGTCTGGGGTCTATCCAGAACCTCTGCTTTTGCACAGCTCCAGAGCCCAGGGTGTGAGTCGGGCCACTGATGCTCATTGCCTCCATTCCCCTGTTGCTAAATTTAGTGGGTAGGGGGAAGGACAGAAAGGGCAAACAGCAGCAGTGTTCACCTGAAAGCAGGGGCATTGGCCTGACTGTCTTGCTCAGCTGGTGAGCTCAGAGCTCACTGCTCATGCAAGGCTGTGGCAGGAGTTCATGCTGACCAGGCAGTGAGCTCAGAGCCCACTACGCATGACCAGTACAGCCAAAGCAGGGCAATGCAGTGCCCCTTGTCCTATTCCTGGATTTGCTACTGCCTCAGCACAAGTGTCAAAAGCCATGATCCCAGTCCCTAACAGAGTTGTCGCACCTATTTCTCATTGGGGAAGATGCAGGACATCACACACCTTTTTTAATTTTCCTACAACTTTTAATATGGATAGAGAGAAGATATGGGCCTAGGTTAACAATTATCGTGACAGGTTACTGAGCCAGGACATGATAAAAAGATTGCTTTGATCCCAACGGGGCGCACGCACGCACGCACGCGCACACACACACACACACACACACAGAGTCAGGCACAGCAGTATCAAAAAAGAAACTGATAACGCACCTGCTCTTTATCCAGGTCACTGTCTTCACTCTCTGAGAATATCATCTCAATCCTCTTTCTCTTGCCTTTTCCAAGCACTTGTATTTTTGTGATTTCATCTGCCTGCAATATCTTTTGCATCATTTCAACCAGCTCCTGAGGGTCATCTAAAGTGGAGGAAAAAAATGCCCAAGCAGATGATGCTATCTTGGAGTTAGCAAGTGAGATCTCACAATTGAAATAAATCTCTTATAAACTGGATGCTTTGTAGCTGCACTCACCACTCATGTATATAACTTTAACAAGGTGCTTCTCTGTCTTTCTTTCTCCCACAGGCCAGTTTACTAGCACATGTTCATTTAGTTTCAGAAGCCTTTCTAGTTCACTGTCATCCTTAGGAAGACCCTGTATCCATGAGGTCTCTCCAATTTGCAGTGAATTATCATTTACAAAATCAAAGAGTGTGAACTTTTTCATTTTTAAAGGACTGTCTTGTCACCCAGACACAACCTGCAAAATTTCATAGAAAAAATAGTTGTTACTGCACAATACCACAGCTGTACATGGTTCTTTACAGTCAGATTAAAAAAAAAACCAGTCCTCTTTCCACTGAATCTTAAGATATGATGGTGTCAGTGCCTTGGGTAGCAGGA